GCAGAAAAACTACACACGAGGGTGTAATAAGACGAACAAACCCGCGGGTAACCAACCAGTTACACACTTAATTACTCGTAAACTATCAAGTTTTTTTGGTGCACGAACAGTAAAGCCATTTTGATATTTGCTTGAATTCATTATTAGGAAACAACGTTGAATGTCGATTAAATAATTATATATTTGGTTAACTTATGTAGATTTGTGTTTAGACATACGAATCCCACGCGCAACTTTTTAATTGCTATGTTAAACCGAGTTAGGCAATAAGATAATAATGTTTGATAAAAACTAATAATCTAACAAACAAATGATAATAGGTTTATAATAACCAGCGGATAATAAGCGAACTAATTAAAGTTTAATTGTGTATCGTACAAACATATACTAGCAACTGGTTGACAGTGATTGGTTGACTTTACATCACGTGGCAGATAATAGCATGTTTGACTACTAGCAAATGTCAAATATCCCTAGTGAAATGATTAATCACATGCTAGCCAACTCGTTAATCAAGAAAAAGTTAAAAAGGCATGGGAATACTGGCATATCTACTATTACTTAATTGAAGCCGCACTATGCGCATCCAAACGCTTATTTCTCCAGTACTAGACTAGCAAATACTTCGTGTCATGCATAATCACACTACCTTATGACAAAATAAACTCTAGTTCCTCCCATTTCACTGCGCGTTGTCTTATAAAAAGCATTTGAAAATACCTCCAATGTTGTTCAAATTCTCCGATGTTGTTGACACTTTCGCGTTGCTCTGCCAAGCAACCGCACAGCGGTGCTGCGGTACAGCGGTACGGGTGTAGCAAAGATAAAAACATGTGAGGTCACCTAACCGATTCTTGGCGAAATTGTTTGGCCAACAATTTAGCGTTGGCGCCAGATTACCAGATTTCGCACCTCTTTCTTGTGGGTTTTAAGCAAACGTGCAGTGCAATGGGAGGAACTAGAGTTTATTTTGCCATAAGGTAGTGTGATTATGCATGACACGAAGTATTTGGTAGTCTAGTACTGGAGAAATTAGCGTTTGGATGCGCATAGTGCGGCTCTAATTGACGGCTTTTCTAAAAATGTTTTACATGGTTTAAAAAATGGAATCTTTCGCGGATATCGCATATGCCTCGCACATGTTGACAATTCTGGAACTCCTCGGATGAACCAGGAGAATATATTTTATCAAGAAATATACAGAACATATAACATGTGTTTGATATTTTTAAATAGCAGAAGCTTGGCAAGTAACAATTTACGACTAAGAACAACGAACGATTAGTGTAGACACTTAAAACTAATAGTTACCCTGATGACAGCAATATCAACAGACTATTCTGGCTAGTCTCATTTGCCACTAGCTTATTAATATACTTCGGCATATACTATTAGGCCCTATATATTTGCAGGCAATAAACATATTATTATAGTCTATCACTGACTCAGCCCGCCGAGAGCATGTGGAGGCCAGATGATGTGTTATTAACACAAAATGTATAAATAGTTCAATTTTCATTCGTACATGATAAACGACATCACCTGATATTCGAGTAGATTATTTATTTCTTGTCGATTTTTTTTTGTCGAAGGAACTATAGTTCGATATGAGTATGGGTATATGAGTAACAAAAGCACAATATCCCAGCGTATTACCGTTGACTATAAAAAACACACACTATACTATGTTGAATTAACATACTAGTCAGTCGCTCTACATATTTCTATGATTATGTGCAATCATGAAAGATGGCGCTCACAGCGAACTAACGACCAACCAAGCACCCAGGACTTTGGTGACAGCTGTCAATGTCAATACCACGACAGGCAGGCCGATGCCGTTGACGGTCGTCTGCGTCAAGAAGACAATAAAGTCTTTATTCTCTGCAACGGCGAATCATGCAGATGAGAGACTCCTCTCTCTCTCTCTTTCTCCTCTCCTCTCTCTCTCTCTCACACACACACAGCACACACAGCACGCCAGCACACGACACGACACACACCACGGCACGCTTCGCACGCACACGCGCACACTCCCTCTCCCACACACACGGACGCACGCACGCGCGCGCTCTCTCTTTCGCCCTCTCGTTACATTTCTTTCTCTCAGTCTCTCTCTCTCTATCTCTCTCTCTTTCTCTTGTTCTCTCTCTCTCTATTTCTTTTCCTTGCCTTCTTCTCTGATTTGCGGTACAAACATGTACTAAGTAAAGCGTTCACGTGCAAATTGTTTAATTATCATTGCATTGAAATCTGTTGGTCTAAGACTTCATCCTAACGCCTGCATACCGCACTAGTAAACGAATCTGATTCGAACGCTGAGTTTGTGCTATATACACCGGCTTCTTATCTAAGTAGCTATGTGGACTACGACGTGCATTATTTGTTTAGTGAGTATAGTCTACACAAAATACGCGTATGACGAGTTGTGTTATACCTGGTATGTGGATAATCAGCACAAACAGCTTCGTGGACTATACTGAATGTAAATAATAAATAAAATAAATAAATTAAATAAATAAATAATAAATCTTAATAAATAAGATAGAATAAACTAATAAATTAAATAAATAAATAAATAAATAAATAAATAATAAATAAAATAAATAAAAAATGAAATAGAATAAATAATATGAATAAATAGAATAAATAAGAATAAATAAATAAATAAATAAATAAATATTTGTGTGTGTGCGTGTGCGTGCGCGCAGTGTGTCAATGTGCGAACGTGCGTGAGTGCAGGCGTGCGCGCGTGTGCATGCGTTTCGTGCATGCGGGGCGCGACCGGGGTTCTCTGGTTTTCTATACACCGATTCAAATATGACTGGAAAACAGAAACACACGTAGTCACGTTTTTCGAAAATCACATTTGAAATGTACTACTTGTTTTGTACTAACCTGCTCTGCTCACGGAGCTCAAGATCGTTATTTATGGTTGAGCCGGTCATTACCGGTACACTGGCCACGTTTTGAAACGAAACTAATCCTAAACCTCCTGCCGCCACGACCGTCCTTAGTAGCCTCAGGTTAAATACTGACGTCTAAACCCCATAGACAGATTAACCTATGAAACTGCTCGACGGGAAGCGGTCCTTTTCATATACAACGTTTTGAATATTAGGGGACGTCACTTTTATTATCCAATTCGATGTTGTTGGGTGCAGCAGGTCATTGCACCTTTTATACCGCTTGTCATAAAGTCGTCTGTCAGTATAGAAACCAATAATCATCTAGTGGGCACGTTAAACCCCCGAGATAACTCTAAATATTTGATTGGTTGCGAAAAATCTATAAATACCCAAGTTTTCCGTAATTCCCAGCGGCACTTAGCTAATCAAGCTACTGCTGAGAGCATTAATGTGTTTTCTGTACTATTAATCACTTCATTATACCCTTAATTCGCAGATACGTTCTAGTTAAGAAATAACAAAACCTAACGCTAACGCGCACAATTTAAATAGGCGAGTCGACGATCGTAATGCGATTATTTAATTTGAGATATTTACGTGGGTAGCGTAGAGATAAGAGCTAAGACAGCTTAGAATTTTTGCCTTGCTCACAATAGGAGCTCGCAAGTGTTCTTATTTCGCGGCACTCATGTGTTTTCTTCCTCTATATACTGGAAGACAAAATGCAATTGAAAAGCAACAGAAAACGAGTTAAAGTAAGCAACAGTAAGCTTAGGCAACAGTTAAGTTCCCTCCATGTGGCTGCCACACGCCGTGAGCGTGATCTCCACTCAATTAATCTGTACTAGAATCTAAATATATAGGCCGTGATATCGAAGAGGCTTACAATGCCTATTAAGGGATTGGCACTGTAGAGTTAAGAGAGTTTTCATCGTGGGGTTGAGTAATGTGTGGGCGATGACACAGATTGATAAGGCACGCAGATGTGTTGAGTAGTGCGCACACAAGCTTATAGTATGGATGATGCAGGCACGGACACGCGGTAAATAATCGTGGCCGTTAGCGAATATGGGTGATGAATGCGGCTATATAGAGTTTGCGGTTATATAGGCCTAACCCTAACCCTAACCCTAACCCTACCCTATCCCGTAACAGGGAAGCTTCCACTCTTCCATGTCAGCGTGCAGACCCCGTACCGATCGACACAATACGAGCTTTACGCAGTTGGTAGTTGCTGGTGGTCGCAGCTTCACGTACGGTAGTTGAATTTGCTTCCTTGGTTTACCCCACAGCGATGCATTAATAGCCCAAAGTCTTGACTGATATTAGCTTCTTCGGTGCGCACGGGCTCCCGCTCGTATAGACTTTTATTCTAATTATACACGCCAAATTTGCCATTAATTAACAATTATTATAAACGCCACACGAGATGCTTCAGTACCTCGCAATATCCGCACAGTACATTGTTTTTTTTTCTTATTATCAACACGGCGAGGGAAGTGCCATGTTATATCCAAAGGGTTGGGCGAAGAGAAAAATGTACGTGTCTTCAAGTTAACTCGATGATAAACCTTAGGAAGTACATGATTGTGCGAACTGGCATTATCATTCATAACATCGAGCTATTTCTTGAAAATCCCGTATCATTGCGATACTCTATCCTGCTGTAAATATTGGCAACACTTCTCGTCAGCCGGTTACTCTGGCATTTCATTAGCACGCACTATATCATTTGTCAATATAAATTCATTGAGAAGGAGAACGTTTTAACAATTGCCGATTGACTGAATTGTTTAGCAATTTACATCTCGTTATCTCTTTTACAGAACACTCGTCCGGCATGAAATATACGTGAGTTAGAATTCAGAGATTGCCAGCGCCTACATCGACCTCTCACAGAGCCGCTACGCACATTGACCGTGAGGCTGAATGCTAGCTAGAATCCCCGCTGTTTGGCAACGAGCGCGCATCACAAAAGTCTTCTTAGAAGTCTCAACCCGATCGTACGCTGGGGTTAACCGTCTTTTCAGCTGTCTATTCCTGAACGCACCGAGCCATAGCGGCTACCATTAACAGCAGCAAGCCATAGCGATGATGTCACACGGAGGCCTGATCGATGTAGCTGGTGACAACAAAACGGTCGTACCGCTCTACGCGAATGCGACGCAGAGGAACGTATCGGCGGCGACGTTGGGCGGTAGAAACGAGGACCTCGCGAAGCTCGAGATCGCACTGCAGGCCCTGATGGTGTGCATGGCCGTCGTCGGCAACTCGTGCGTACTGCTGGCGCTGCGGCTTCGTAGGGGCAAGCTGTCGCGCATGCACTACTTCATCATGCATCTGAGTATCGCCGACCTGTTCGTCGCCTTCTTCAACACGTTTCCGCAGCTGATGTGGGACATCACGTTTCGCTTCCAGGGCGGCAACTTCCTCTGCAAGTTCGTCAAGTTCGTGCAGGTCTTCTCGCTCTACTACTCCACCTACGTGCTCGTCGTGATGGCCATCGACCGCTTTCAGGCGATCTGCCGGCCGCTGGCGAGCATGTCGTGGACGGCGACGAAAGCGAACCTGATGGCCGGCGCCGCGTTAACTCTGTCGGCCGTCATCAGCCTTCCGCAGGTGGTGCTCTTCTCCTACCAGGAGATCCCCGGACTCGGCATCTACGACTGCTGGGTGCTGTGGAAGCACGCGTGGAGCGCGACGTTCTACGTCTGCTGGTTCGTCGTCTCCGTCTTTTTCATTCCGATCATCATCCTCATCGTCTCCTACAGCTGCATCTGCTTTACCGTCTGGAAGAACATCCACGATAAGACGTGCGCGCCGAAGCGAGACCTGCAGGGTGTGCGAACCAACACTGTCAAGACGATCAATCCGAGAACGCATTCGTCGAGGAACCTGTCGAATGCGAAGATCAAGACGGTGAAGCTGACGCTGGTCGTCGTGCTTAGTTACATCTTCTGCTGGACGCCGTATTTCACCGGAACAATGCTTTTCGTCTTCTGCGAAGAAAAGGCACAAATCTACCTGGGCAGTAAGTGCGGCTTCACTACTACGTTTGCATCAGTGCTTCAGCAATATAAGCGTAATCAGCGACGCACTTGTTCGTTATCTCTCTCTCTCACACACACACACGCGCGCGCGCACACACGCGCACACCAGTATACTCACA